GAATGCCGGGGGGTTCCAGGGAATGCCAGGGGTTCCAGGGAACGCCGGGAATGCCGGGGGGTTTCAGGGAATGCCAGGGGGTTCCAGGGAATGCCGGGGATGCCGGGGGGTTCCAGGGAATGCCGGGAATGCCGGGGGGTTTCAGGGAACGCCGGGAACACCGAGGGGTTTCAGGGAATTCCAGGGAATGCCGGGGGGTTCCAGGGAATGCCGGGAATGCCGGGGGGTTCCAGGGAATTCCAGGGGGTTTGAGGGAATTCCAGGGGCTGTTCCAGGGAATTCCGCGGGATTTCCCAGAGGGATTTTCAGGGAATTCCAGGGTGTTTAAGGGAATTCTGGGGGTTTTCCAGGGAATTTCAGGGGATTCCAGGGAATTCCGGGAATTCCAGGGGGTTCCTGGGGGGTTTTCCAGGGGATTCCCCAGAGGGATTTTCAGGGGATTTCAGGGAATTCCAGGGAAGGGGTCTCGGGGAGTAGCGGGGGGTGCCAGGGAACGCCGGGAATGCCGGGAGGGCTCCAGGGAATGCCGGGGATGCCGGGGGGTTCCAGGGAATGCCGGGAATGCCGGGGGGTTTCAGGGAACGCCGGGAACACCGAGGGGTTTCAGGGAATTCCAGGGAATGCCGGGGGGTTCCAGGGAATGCCGGGAATGCCGGGGGGTTCCAGGGAATTCCAGGGGGTTTGAGGGAATTCCAGGGGCTGTTCCAGGGAATTCCGCGGGATTTCCCAGAGGGATTTTCAGGGAATTCCAGGGTGTTTAAGGAAATTCTGGGGGTTTTCCAGGGAATTTCAGGGGATTCCAGGGAATTCCGGGAATTCCAGGGGGTTCCTGGGGGGTTTTCCAGGGGATTCCCCAGAGGGATTTTCAGGGGATTTCAGGGAATTCCAGGGAATGCCAGGGGGTTTTCCAGGGAATCTCAGGAGGTTTAAGGGGGGGTTTCAGGGGATTTCCCAGAGGGATTTTCAGGGGATTTTCTAGAGGACTTCAGGGAATTCCGGGGGTTTGAGGGAATTCCAGGGGGTTTTCCAGGGGGTTCCTGGGGGGTTTCCCAGGGGATTCCAAGGGATTCCAAGGGATTTTGCAGGGGGATTTTCAGGGGATTTCAGGGGATTCCACAAGAAATTCCAGGGGATTTCAGGGAATTCCGGGAATTCCAGGGGGGTTTAAGGGAATTCCAGGGGGTTCCAGGGGGGTTTTCAGGGGATTCCAGGAAATTCCAGGGAATTCCAGGGAATGCTGGGAATTCCAGGGGGTTTTCCAGGGATTTTCAGGGGGTTCCAGCTGATTTTCCAGGGGATTTCAGGGGTTTTTCAGGGAATTCTGGGAATTCTAAGGGTTTTCCAGGGAATTTCCGGGGGTTCCAGGGGGTTTCCAGTGAATTCCAGGGAGTTTTCCAGGGAATTCTGGGAATTTCAGGGAGTTTTTCAGGAAATTCCGGGAATTTCAAGGAATTTTAGGGATTTTCCAGGGGATTCCACGGATACCCAGGAATTCCAGTGGGTTTTCCAGGGAATTCCAGGATTTGGGTGGATCCCATCAGGACTTCTGGGATTTTGGGTGGATCCCCTTAGGAATCCCAGGATTTGGGTGCATCCCTGTGTCAATTCCCAGGATTTTGGATGGATCCCTCAGGAGCTCTGGGATTTTGGGTGGATCCCTCAGGAATTCTCAGGATTTTGGGTGGATCCCTCAGGAACTCTGTGATTTTGGATGGACCCCGGTGTAAATCCCCAGGATTTGGGGAGGATCCCTCAGGACCCCGGGATCGGGGTGGATCCCTGTGTAAATCCCCAGGATTTGGGGTGGATCCCTCAGGACCCCGGGATGTGGGTGGATCCCTCAGGAATCCCGGGATTGGGGTGGATCCCTGTGTAAATGCCCAGGATTTTGGGTGGATCCCTGAGGAATTCCAGGATTTTGGGTGGATCCCTCAGGACCCCAGGATCGGGGTGGATCCCTGTGTAAATCCCCAGGATCGGGGTGGATCCCCCCTCAGGACCCCCGGGATGTGGGTGGATCCCCCAGGACCCCGGGATCGGGGTGGATCCCCCAGGAACCCAGGATCGGGGTGGATCCCTGTGTAAATCCCCGGGATCGGGGTGGATCCCCCCCAGGACCCCCGGGCGCGGGCTCACCCGGCGGTTGTGGTTGTGGTCCGGCGAGCGCAGGTGCTTCTGGATGGAGCCGAAGTGCATGGGGATCAGCAGGTCGCAGGCCGAGCAGTGCGCGGCCTCCACCTTCCGCACAAAGTGCTCCAGGCCCAGCTCTGGAAAACAGGGATCGGGATTGGGAATGGGGATTGGGATCTGGGATTGGGATCCCCAGGGCTCCAGGCCCAGCTCTGGAAAACACGGATCGGGAATGGGATCTAGGATTGGGATCTGGGAATGGGATCCCCACCTCTGGAAATCAGGAATGGGATCAGGGATAAGGAATGGCCAATCCTTCTGGGACATTCCAGACCCATTCCTGGGATTCCCAAATCCCATTCCCTTCCCCAGGGATCCCTCTTTGCCGCACCCCCATTCCCAGAGAATTCCCAGCCCCAGCATTCCCAGGGATTCCCCGCCCCATTCCCAGGGATTCCCAGGGAATTCCCAGCCCCAGCATTCCCAGGGAATTCCCAGCCCCATTCCCAGGGATTCCCAGCCCCAGCATTCCCAGGGATTCCCAGGGATTCCCAGCCCCATTCCCAGGGAATTCCCAGCCCCATTCCCAGGGATTCCCTAGGAATTCCCAGCGGCATTCCCAGGGATTCCCAAGGAATTCCCAGCCCCAGCATTCCCAGGGAATGAATTCCCAGCACCAGCATTCCCAGGGAATGAATTCCCAGCCCCATTCCCAGGAATTCCCAGCCCCATTCCCGGGAATTCCCAGCCCCGGGGTACCCTGGGTCAGGTCCTGCTCCCTCTGGATCTGCTGGATCACGGCGTTGATGTCCCGGATCCCGCGGCGCCGCTCCTCCGTCTTCCGCGTCTTGTTGGCCACCTCCTCCTGCAGGGAATTCCCTGGGATCATCCCAAAAATCCCTGGGAATGGGCCTGGATAATCCCCAAATCCCCAACTACTCCTGCAGAAATTCCCTGGGATAATCCCAAAAATCCCCAACTGCTCCTGCAGAAATTCCCTGGGATAATCCCAAAAATCCCCAACCCCGTCCTGCAGGGAATTCTCCAGGATAACGGGATCCTCATCCCAAAAATTCCCCAGGAAACAACCCCAGCTCAGGGGATTTGCAGGGATGGGATGGGAAAGGGAAAAGGAGGAAAAAGGAGGGAAAGGAGGGAAAAAAGGGAAAAAAAGGAGAGGGAAAAGGAGGGAAAGGAACCACAGGAAAAGCAGGAAAAGAGAGAAAGGAGAAAAAACAAAGGAAAAGGAAAACAAGGAAAAGAGAGGGAAAATCAGGGAAAGGAGAGCAAGAAAAATAAAGGAAAATAAAAGCAGGAAAAGCAGGAAAAGCAGGAAAAGCAGGGAGAGGAGGCTCAGGGCAGCTTGGTGCCCACGAACTGGAAATGGGAAAAGGGAGAGGGAAAGGAATAAGAGGAGGAAGAGGAGGAAGAGGAGGAGGAGGAGGAAGAGGAAGCTCAGGGCACCTGCAGGAACTCAGCTGGGTGCTGAACTGGAAATGGGAAAAGGGGAGGGAAAGCAGGGAAAGGAAAAGCAGGGAAAGGAGGAAGAGGAGGCAGAGGAGAGGAAGAGGAGGAAGAGGAGGAGGAGGAGGAAGAGGAAGCTCAGGGCACCTGCAGGAACTCAGCTGGGTGCTGAACTGGAAATGGGAAAGGGAGAGGGAAAGGAGGGAAAGGAAAAGCAGGAAAAGGAGAGGGAAAGGAGGAGAGGAGGAAGAAGAGGAAGAGGAGGAAGAAGAGAAAGAGAAGAGGAAGAGGAGAAAGAGGAGGAAGAGGAAGCCGAGGCACCTGCAGGAGCTGGGCTCTGCTGGGGCAGCTTGGTGCTGAACTGGAAATGGGAAAGGGAGAGGGAAATCAGGGAAAGGAAGAAGAGGAGAGGAAGAGGAGGAAGAGGAGAGGAAGAGAAGGAAGAGAAGGCAGAGGAGAGGCAGAGGAGAGGAAGAGGAGAGGAAGAGGAGGAGGAGGAGGAGGAGGAAGAAGCTGAGGCACCTGCAGGAGCTGGGCTGTCTGCTGGGGGAGCTTGGTGCTGAACTGGAAATGGGGAAAGGGAGAGGGAAAGGAGGGAAAGGAAAAGCAGGAAGAGGAGGAAGGAGAGGAAGAGGAGGAGAAAGAGGAGGAGGAAGAGGAGGAGAGGAAGAGGAGGAGAGGAAGAGGAGAAAAGGAGGCACCTGGAGCTGGGCTGTCTGCTGGGGCAGCTTGGTGCCCCAGGAGGAAAAGGAGGAAGAGGAAGGAAAAGGAGGAAAAGGAGGAAGGAGAAAGAAAGAAAAGGAGGAAGAGGAGGCACAGGAAAAGGAGGAAGAGGAGGAAGAGGAAGCTGAGGGCTCCTGCAGGAACTGGGCTGTCTGCTGGGGCAGCTTGGTGCTGAACTGGAAATGGGAAAGGGGAGAGGGAAAGCAGGGAAAGGAAAAGCAGGGAAAGGAGAGGGAAAGGAGGAAGAGAAGGAAGAAGAGGAAGAGGAGGAAAAAGAGAAAGAGTGGGGAAAATGGGAATGGGGAAATGGGAGAGGGGAATGGGGAAAAATGGGAATGGGAATGGGGAGAGGGAAATGGGAATGGGGAAATGGGAATGGTGGGGGAAAATGGGAATGGAGTAAGAAAAATGGGAAAAGTGAGAATGGGGAAATGAATGGGAATGGGGAACAGGGAAAATGGGAATGGGGAAATGAGTTAGGGGGAAAAATCCCTAAAAAAGGAGTAAAATCTCTAAAAAAGGGGAAATATTCCCTAAAAAGGGAAAAATCCGTTAAAAAAAAGAGGAAAAAATCCCTAAAAAAGGGGGAAAATCCCTAAAAAAGAGGGAAAAATCCCTAAATAAGGGGGGAAATCCCTAAAGAGGGGAAAAAATCCCTAAAAAAAGGGGAAAAAATCCCTAAAAAGGGGGAAATTCCCTAAAAAAGGGGGGAAAAATTCCTAAAAAGGAGGGAAAATCCCTAAAAAATGGAGGGAAAATCCCTAAAAAAGGGGGGGAAAATCCCTAAAAAGGGGGAAAAATCCCTAAAAAATGGGGGGAAAATCCCTTAAAAATGGGGAAAAAAATTCCTAAAAAGGAGGAAAAATCCCTAAAAAATGGAGGGAAAATCCCTAAAAAAGGGGGGGAAAATCCCTAAAAAGGGGGAAAAATCCCTAAAAAATGGGGGGAAAATCCCTTAAAAATGGGGGAAAATCCCTAAAAAATGGAGAAAAAATCCTAAAAAGGGGAAAAATTCCTAAAAAGGGGGGAAAATCCCTAAAAAATGGGGGGAAAATCCCTTAAAAATGTGGAAAAAAATTCCTAAAAAGGGGGAAATTCCCTAAAAGGGGGGAAAAATCCCTAAAAAAGGGGGGGAAAATCCCTAAAAAGGGGGAAAAATCCCTAAAAAAGGGGG